CTAAAATAAAAAAACGTTAAAAAAAAAAAAAAAAAAAAAAAGTGAAATTCAAACAGGGCTCTGTCTAATGGAAAACTACAGTAAATATCAGATAAGAGGGTGAAAAGTACTAACCATTTCTGTGAACTGTTTTGCGCAGAGCAGCCGATGACAAGATGCTCATGGCTGTATCTGTGTCCTGCCAGTGGTGGGAGGGGGAGGGAGAGCAAGGCCTCCCACCTGCAGTCTGTCTTCATAGGCCCTGACACATGGGTTAGCACAGAGGCGCTTCCACTCCTGGCCACCGGTGAGGTCCAGGTGTAGGCTGCTTCGGGGATCCCGTGTTTTCACTAAAGATGATCAAGGACCTTACGGGTAGTCCTGGTTCCTGGGTTTGGGCCTAGAATATAGTTATTGACACTTTAAAGTCCCTTGCCTTCTTCGTCTGCTTTTTTTTTTTTTTTTCTCAAAACTCAAGACTAGCTTTGTGTTTGGTATTTTTCATAGCACCTCTATTTGAGGGCTTCCATGAACTCAGATTTAAAGACCTATCTAATCCCAATGCTGAGAAGAAGCTTCACACCTTTAAGTTAGACTTGTTAAATCACTGGTTCCTAATATTGGGGCTACACACTTCCTTGATGAGTCTTCACATATAATTTTCTGGATGAAGTTTCAACGGGTTATTCACTCCCTAATAAGAGCCTCTGGGCCCAGCCTCCATTGCACAGATGGTAGTATACTAAGCTGCAGTGCTGGAAGCCACATGGCCAGCCATAAGTTCAGATCCCCAACTGACCTGAAATGCTAGGTTCAAGTAGGCCCAAGGTCCCAGTGAGGTGGAGGGCTAGGGGAAGAGGATTGTGGCGTGAAGAGACTCTGTTGAGTTCCTGTCTTTCTGTCTCTTTGTCTTATGCGCACATACTCTCTCATGAATAAAATACACTCCTTTTTTTTTAAGATAGGTTTTTGCTATAAGGGTGTGTGTATTTGCTGGAAAGACAGATAGAGACAGAGAGACAGAAAGCAAGAAATCACACTCCGAGGGGGATGGCCATGTTGCAATCCCTTCTCCTCCATTCTCCTCTCGGGATCTCGGGCACGTGCGCACTCACAGGGCACCTGGCCGCCAGGTCTGGGACTAGAACCGTGGCCAACTACGTGGGAGTCCAGAGACGAAACCATTATGCCATTTGTTGGTCCCTAAACTCTTTCTTTTTTAAAACTGTGAATCAAATTTCCCCAAAAGGAGAATTTTATTATTTTATTCCCTCACAAAAAGACCAACTGTAATCAAATATGGTGAACATTCACCTCAAGATTTTGTCGTCTTCATAATAAAAGAGATGAGACTTAGAACTGGATCATTTGACCTGTTCTCTTCTTATCTCCCCCAAGTTCAAAATGATCACATCTCTTTTTTTTTTTTTTGGAGAGGTTTTTTCGCTATAGGGCGTGTGCACTCGCCAGATAGACAGAGACATAGAGACAGAAAGCGAGAAATCACCCCCCAGGGGGGATGGTCACGCCGCAATCCCTTCTCTTCCATTCTCCTCTCAGGATCTTGGGCACGCACACACACGCACCCGGCATGAGTTTTAAGCCACTGGGTCCGGGACGCGAACTGCGGTCGTCTACGTGGGAGTCCAGTGACATAGCCATTACGCTAACTGCTGGTTCCCAAAATGCTCACATCTCTTAATAGCCAGCATCCTCTTAGATCTGCAATTGGGCTCAACATATTTAATCCTCTTTGCAGTTTTTGCCTTTTTCTGGATAATAGGCTTAGTCTGTCCACCGTAGCCACTCTGCTTCCTGTCATAACGCCCTTCCCCTGAGCAGAGACTCCTTGCCCTTTGTGTATTGTGTCACTTTGTGACGTTGGTGCTTGCCACGCTTCTTACAGAAGGTCCACTGGGTTTTAGGGACGTTCACCATGCTTGTGGGCCTGCTAGCTGCTCAGAAAGTTGTTTTTTTTTTTGAACAAACCACTTTAATTTAAAACTTTAATGTATGACATGAAGTCTGTAACTTGAAATTCTCACCTGGCTCTTGTAAAGAGTTGAGTCTGTGCTTTTAGTCGCCAACACCAGAAAAGAGACCTAATTCTTCTTCTGTCCACTGGGAAGTGACCCAGCACAGCACCTGAGTCATACCACAGGCGCCGGGGAACCCAGAACCACGTGGTCCCACTGAAGACCTCACCCAGGATCATCTGGTGTCTGGTCAGTGGTGCAAACTGTCTATACCGGGGCTCTATGTGCTCACCTCCACCAGCACGATGGGCTTCCCCACCTCCAGCCCCCCGCATGTGGCAGCCTCTGAAGAGACACCCCGCAGCGTGAACAGAAGGTGCCAGTCGTGTCAGAGCCGATAAGCTGGCGGCAGCCCCCTAAACTTTAAAAAATGTAGTTATTGAGAGAGCCCGTGCACAGTGGCTAAGGATCTTACATGTCTGAGTGTGGTTTGAATCACAGTCCCAGTGACTTGAAAACTCACTGGGTGCATGTCCAAAATCCTGACAGGAAGGAAAAGGATTGCAGTGTGATCGTGCTCCATCGGGGTGCTCGCACTCTCTTTCTTCCTCTCTCTCTCTCTCTCTCTAGGGAGCACATGCCTCTTCTGTCAACTAAAAAAAGAAAAGAAGGTTATTTTGTTCTGTTTTCATTTGCTGTAGGGCATCTGTGCGCACCAGAAACAGAGAGAGGAAGAGAAAAAGGAAAAGTGAGAAATCATAGCCTTGTGGGGGATGGTTACACCACAGTCTTTCCTCCTCCACTCTCCTCTTGGGATGTTGTTGGCCACGTACGCACATCCCCCTGGTTTTTTTTTAAAGCCACTGGGTCTGGGATTCAAACTGCATGTGGAATCCAGCCGTCTTAACCACCACACCACCTACTGGCCCAAAAAATAAAATGTTTTCTCTCTCTTCTTTTTTTTAGTTTTTTTTGCTATAGGGTGTATGCAGTGGTCAGAGAGAGAAAGTGAGAAATTTACCGCCCCCCCCCAGGGGAGATGGCCATGCTGCAATCCCTTCTTTTCCATTCTCCTCTCAGGATTTAGGGCATACACACACTTGCCTAGTTTGGTTTTCAAGCTGCTAGGTCCAGGACTTGAACCACGGAGCTGGCTATGTGGGATCCAGCTGCTTTAACCCATGACATCTGCTGGCCCCAAATAAAAAGTTTTCAAAAATGTATTTATTTATTTTTTAAATGGGTCTGTCTTCAGCAGTGATTCAGACAGACATGGGTGGCCTTGGCGTAGGGATGCGTTGGCCTTAAGCTAGGAGCTGTAACATGCTCTACAGACCCAGCATGCCAGCTATGACAGGAATTTAAAAGTCCTTCCTTTCCTTAGACTCTTGATACAATTCTGATTAGATAATTGGATAACCGAGAGAAAGATTCAGAGGCTTTTTGGCAATTTCAAGATACCCTCGAGTTCCTTATCAAGGCAGGATATCAAGGAAAGGATTCCCTTCTTTGGGGGAATAAAAAGATTCTATGTCACTCTTTTCTTTTTCTTTCAGGTTTTTTTTTTTTTTTCCACAAGGCGTGTGTGCTTGGCAGACAGAGACAGAGGGAGGGAAAGTGAGAAATTCAGACCCCTTAAGGGGGATGGCCAAGCCACAAACTCTTCTCCTCCATTTTCCTCTCAGGGTTCAGGGTAAGTATACACACACACACACACTCAGGGGGTGATTTTCAAGTCACCGGGTCTGGGACTCAAACCATGGTCAGCCATGTGGGAATCCAGGGCATTAACCACTCTACCACTGAAAGGCCCCACTATGCCACTATTTAACTCAGAGAAAGAAATGTACATCTTCAGATCTCTAAGGAGAAATGTAAGCAGAAGATGTTAAGAGTTGTTTTCAATGTTGACTTAATTTAGGACTTTCAACAAGAATTTCTTGAGTGCTATCGTGTGCACGGGGGGTAGGGTGAATTGTGACGACTGTGGAACTAGTTTGTGACATCATGGAGCACGCTAGCCTGCATAGAGTGGAGACTGAACAAATTAACAGTCCCCACCCTCTTGCCTTCCGGATGCCTTAAAGTGCATGGCATATAGTTCTTAGTTTTAAAATAAATATTGGGGGAATGGAGTTGACTTGCCCTACAGAGTCATTTTAGGCTAACCAACTGAATTTTGAAGAATGTGTCCCAAAGGCAATGGATGTTTGTTTTGTCTTAGTTCATGTCATGTGTCGAGCCATTATTCCTGGCTGCTGTTAGATTCAATTGTCTCTCGAGGCTACTCCCCATCACTGATAATAAAACTATTATGGGATGAGGGCAGCCATCCAGAACCTAGGGTTTGCTGGAGGCTCTGGGAAGGAACAGGATGGAGTGAAGAAACAGGCTGGGACAGCTAAGCTTTGCGGTTCTAACACATATTTTCCCTTCCATATCTGGGGACACACACATATGAATACACATACACACACTCAATTCCTTGTTTCTTTTTACTGTTTTTTTGTTTGTTTGTTTGTTCCTAGTCTTGTTCTATATTCATGTGTCCTTATGAGTTGCAATGTACATAGCCTTTTGTGTTCTGGGTTTTTTAATCATTATTTTATTTAACTCTATTTATTTATTTTAATTTGAGGAGAGAGGGACACACAGAGAGAGAGAAAGTGAGAAAGCAAGCCGCCAGGACCAGGACTCGACTGCGTTCAGCCATGTGAGAGTCCAGTGACCATAACCACCGTGCCACCTGCTGGCCCCTTGTGTTGTTTTTAAATTTATCACTATGTGTTATTTAAATTTTTAAAAATTTGCCATAGGGTGTGTGTGCTTGTAAGAGAGAGAGTGAGAGAAAGAGAGAGGGAGAAAGCATCCTCCACGGGGCATGGTCATGCTGCAGTCCCTTCTCCTCTATTTCTCCCGTCGGGATTTTGTCTGGGTTTAGAATCATGGTTGGCCATGTGGGATCTGGTTTCCTTAACCAATAGGCTGCAGGGCTGACCCTAGACAGACTCTTTGGTCCGACTGCAGCAATGGAAGTAGTAGGGCTGGATAACGCTAGAGCCACATGAGAGGCTCCGACCTAGCAGATCTGAACACGACGAGTTCCTTTGACCTTGTCTGGCTAAGAGGCTGGGAAGGATCACAGCAAGGTGAAGGCCTATCAAGGGTACCTCTCTCTCTCAATAAATAAACATTTTTTAAATAATTCTTTTCTCACTGTAAAATTTGAGGAGAGAGGGACACACAGAGAGAGAGAAAGTGAGAAAGCAAGCCGCCAGGACCAGGACTCGACTGCGTTCAGCCATGTGAGAGTCCAGTGACCATAACCACCGTGCCACCTGCTGGCCCCTTGTGTTGTTTTTAAATTTATCACTATGTGTTATTTAAATTTTTAAAAATTTGCCATAGGGTGTGTGTGCTTGTAAGAGAGAGAGTGAGAGAAAGAGAGAGGGAGAAAGCATCCTCCACGGGGCATGGTCATGCTGCAGTCCCTTCTCCTCTATTTCTCCCGTCGGGATTTTGTCTGGGTTTAGAATCATGGTTGGCCATGTGGGATCTGGTTTCCTTAACCAATAGGCTGCAGGGCTGACCCTAGACAGACTCTTTGGTCCGACTGCAGCAATGGAAGTAGTAGGGCTGGATAACGCTAGAGCCACATGAGAGGCTCCGACCTAGCAGATCTGAACACGACGAGTTCCTTTGACCTTGTCTGGCTAAGAGGCTGGGAAGGATCACAGCAAGGTGAAGGCCTATCAAGGGTACCTCTCTCTCTCAATAAATAAACATTTTTTAAATAATTCTTTTCTCACTGTAAAAGTAAAACATATTCATTATTTTTTAAATGCAAACACTATGCAAAGACAGTGAAAAATCACACTTGATATTTTGAAATGTATTCTTCAAGACTTTTTCTATGCATATATACATACTTACAAAATAAAATCATACCAGACATGCTGTTTTAGTTTCTGTTTTCCATGTCTATATATACATATTAAAGAGCATTTCTTTTTTTAGTTTGCTATAGGGTGTGTGTGCTGGCCAGAGAGAGAGCAGAGAGAGAGAGAAAAAAAGTGAGAAAGCAAAGCCTAAGAAGGATGGCCATGCCTCAATCCCTTCTCCACTCTCCTCTCAGGATTTTAAGCACATATGCACACATGCCTGGTGTGTTTTTCAAGCTTCCAGGTCTGGGAATCGAACTGCACAGTTGGCCATGTGTCCAGCCACTTTAACCACCATGCCACCTGGCTGGCCCTAGAGTAGCATTTCTGATGTTTTATGAATATATCCTTATGTCTATAAATGATATATATGGTTTATTTATCCTTTGATGACATTTCAGTTGTTTCCAATTTGTCACCATAGTAACAGTTCTCATCATCTTCTCTCCTTAGGACTAATTCTTAGAAGCATTGGTCAGTCCACAGAGATCTATCTATCTATTTATTGAAATATTTATCTATTTATCTACTTTTTAAAAGTTGCAATAGGGCACATGTACTTGACAGAAAGAAAGAGAGAGAGAGGGAGAGAAAGAAGGTGAGAAAACAGCCCTGGAGAGATGATCACGCCATCCCTTCTCTTCCATTCTCCTCTCATGATTTTTGGCCATGTACATACTTGCCTGGTGTATTTTTCACACTACCAGGTAGGGAGTTTGAACCACGGAGTGGACTATGTGGGATCCAGTCACTTTAATCACCATACCACCTGGCTGGTCCCAGAGGTGCACATTTAACATTTTGAAATACATCATTTTTCAATGATCTCTGGCAATAAAAGTGTCTATGAACGTTCCTTTCCCTTTGCTCCTGCCCACATACTTATCCTTTTAAAATCTGCAAAATAAACCCAAATTAATACTCACAGAACAGACTTTCCCATTTCAGTGCAGAAAACTGGGAACTTTTATTCCTCCTCAAAAACTCACAGGGATTTGCTAAACATGATGGCAAAGAAAACTGGTTAAAAGTCTCCCGTTACAAAGGGAAGTCACCAAGCCCCCAGACCTCCAGGCCACCCGCCCTAAAGCAGTCTAGGGCTACAATGTCCCTGCCATGTGCCCACACCGCCGCTAGATGGCGAGAGGGGCCCAGACCGACCCTCCCGCAGGACCCGTGTCCTCCGCTCGTTGGCGAAGGGTGGTCCGACCCTGTGGCCGCGAAGACAGAGGGGGGACAGGGTCTAACTGGGTGGGGAGAACCGGGCTCCAGGCCCAGAGTACGCAAATGAAAGTCCAGGAAGTGGAATTCAGCTTTCTGGGAAAGAAGCTGTGGTTTAAATTAATTAACTACGGCTGCAACGGTCTTCCCGCCCCGGTCACCGGGGAGCGCTTGTGTCGTGTCGCTAAGGGCGAGGCGGCCCGGCTTGGATCGGCCACCTCCGAGGGCCTCCGGGCGAGGCGGACCGATGAGACGCCCAGGCCCTGCCAACCGCGTTTCCTGCGGTGGCCTCGGGTACAGTGGGAATCTGTCCAAACCCTGCGCTCCACTTTGAGGCTGCGGACCTAAGGCAAGTGACAGGGCCTCTCTGAAGTGGGGTCACTACTGGTACCACCGATGGAAGGTCGTGTGAGGGAAAGCGAGAGAACACATGGGAGCTGGTGTTTTTGTACACCCCCTTAAAAACCACACCTCCACCCAAACACAACTGGTTAACTGTTGGAGGCTTCAGGGGGACAGAAGAGGTCTCAGTAGAGATGTGTCTCAGCAGAGACTTTCTGGTTCCCATTCTTTCAGTGCACTCTCTAGGCCTGCGTCCCAAGGGAAGGGAAGGTTACCAACCTTGGTCCTCACAGGGAGCTGGATGAGGAGGCAGGAAGGGTACTTACCAATGTTACTTCCAGACCTTATCAGGGTTCAAAATCAACAGCGCCTGGGACACTGTGGGAAAGCGAGCCAGCCCCTCTGGCTACCTGTGCTCTGGTGAGATCCTGGGTCTCCCTGGTCTGTCTCGCTCAGTGTCCTAGTCCAGGTCCCAGCTGGAGGAGACGGCTGGTGGCCACCTCTAGGAATGAGGGCGTGGGAGGGGGAGGGAGTGGGCTCTGTGTCGGCAGTTGCCATGGTTTTGCTGAGTTCTGGAGCCAACCTGCCCACCCTCTGAGACGCTCAGGTCACAGAAGCAGGTCAGAAGTCTCGGGAACGTGAGGAGTGCCACCCTGGAGCCTACCAGCACAGCAGTTGCGATGGAGGCCTCAGATGGGCCAGGGGGTGAAGGGGATAAACCACTAGAGAAGGTGAAGTGGGGCCGAGGGTGTAGGGGAGGGAAGGAAGGAGGTCCCCTGAGGGACTGGTTTTGGAAAGCACAGATGAAGTTCAGAGGAGGAGAGAAGGAAAACTGGTGGGGTACACGAGTTAGCAAGAGACCTCCAGATCTAGAGGACACTAATGAATTCAGATAGATGTTTATCAAAGACATGTATTCCTGGCCAGAGGATGGGAAGGGATCCCATCTCGTTGATGACAAAGCCTCAAGAGTATGTGCACACACGTGTGTGTGTATACACATGTGTTATGGTTTGTATGTGTGGCTGTGCAGTGTGGAGGGCACATTTATGGAGTTGTCCAACCCGAATCCCCTTTCTGAGACGGAAGAGACCTCTCCATTCACTTCCCTCCCTCTTGCTTGGTCTCTCCCTTCCTTGTTCCCCCTCAACAGAGACAGAACTCAATGCTTGCTTTTACATTTTTATTTATTTATTTCTTAATTTAAAAAGATTGCCAGATGCTGCATGTGCTCACTGGAGAGAGAGAAAGTGAAAAAGCACCTGGCATGGGGGACACCTCACAATCCCTTCTCCTTCACTACTCCTTTTGGGATTTGGGGCACACACAGGCTCGTGGTGGATTTTCCAAGCCACTGGGTTTGGACTCTAACTGCATAGTTGGACATGTGGGATCCCTCTCTTTCACCACCACACCCCTAACTAGCCCAGTGCTCACTTTTCTGACAGGCTTTTGAAAAATGACATGTGAATTAAATTGTGTCAATCTAATCCTGTACTCCAGCTTCTAATATGTCATGGTCACTTTGTCTCCACTAATTTTCAGCCTCCTTTGCCCTGTTTTTCTGTCAAAAGTTTCTTTCTCTTCATCATATCACTGTTACCCGTTTTTTTCTGAATGTCCCTTAGATGCATGGCATGATGTGAAAGATTAGAAATGTAAAGCAATGGGCCTGAGATTTAGGCTGTCAGTAAATGCTTACTGAGTGAATTAAAAAATGAACCTCTGTAGTTCCCCAAGTAGTCACTTAAATCTTTTGGTGCCTCAGTGTTCTCATCTGTAACTAGAGATGATACTTAACCTCACAGAATTTGTAGGAGAATAAAATGAATTAATATGTATCAAGTGCTTTGCAAAGTTACCTAGCATAGTATAGTATAATTATTGTAAAATAAATAGGTGAAATATTCTAGGTTTCCTTTTAAAAAATGCCAGAACTCACCAGAGAGCAACAGAGAGAAAAAGGAAGAGGAAGAAGGCACGCTGCAATCCCTCTTCCTCCATTTCTCCATCCTGTTGTCATATATGCATGCATCTGAAATATTTTTCAGGCTGTCAGGACCAAGATTTGAACCACACAATGCGGGATCTGGCTCCCTTAACCTCTAGGCCAGAGGGCTGATGCTCTTCTCAGTTTTCTAAGCAGAGATTCTCAGAAATGGCTTTCTCTGTTCAGGTGTCACTCACAACAGTGCTGGGTCAAGAAACAGGTCATAGGATGTTCTAGTCCATTCTGTTCAATAATGGAAATATCCATGTCTGGTAATTTATGAGAATAGAGGTTTATTTAGCTCACGGTTTTGGAGGTCCAAGGTTAAGGACATCAAGTGAGGCTCTTATTGATCAGGACTCTCTGTGGAGTCCCAAGATAGCACAGAGCTTCATGAGGTCAAGGAGAGCTTGAGTGAGCACATCTGTATCGGTGTGTCTATCTCTTCCCATCACTTACAAATCCACTAGGGGGACCTGCAGTTGGTGTAACGGCTATGTCGCTGGACTCCCACATAATCAACCGTAGTTCGAGTCCCAGACCCGGTGGCTTAAAACTCATGCTGGGCACGTGTACATTCATGCCTAAGATCCTGATAGGAGAATGGAGGAGAAGGAATTGCAGTGTGACCATCCTCCCTGGGGGGTGATTTCTCGCTTTCTGTCTCTCTGTCTATCTCTGTCTTTCTGGCAAGTGCACGCGCCCTATAGCAAAAACCTCTCAAAAATAAAATCTACGTCCCCACTAGGACTCAATCATGGGGACCTCACCCTGATCCTAATCTCCTCCCAAAGGCCACACCTCTCGCCGTCATAGCTGGATTAAGGTTTCCCTTAATACCTTCAAAACACAACCAAATTTCAATACATAAACTTTGAGGGACATCTTCAAAATGTAGCCTAGGGATGGGGTCGGCAGGTAGCATGGTAGTTAAGGGCACTGAACTCCCACATGGCCAACTGTGGTCCCAGACCTGGTGGCTTGCTTTCTTTCTCACTCTCTCTCTTGCTCACTCACTCTTGCTCTCTCACTCTGTCCCT